AGTCTAACATAGCTCTGTCACTGATTACAACTGTGAGGCCGGGGTCCAGTCCTGATTTCATCATTTCCTAACCTGATTGAGTTATGTTGCGTTTTTTTGCAGAGGTATCGTCATGTCGATAATATATTCTTCGAAAACCAAGATATTGTGAATGATTTCTTGAATTTTTGGCGCACAACTGGAAATCAGCGAGTCGGATATCTCATTGGGAAGTAGGTACATCGGTACTTGTTAGTTTCTCAGTATATCAACTTTGTTCAAGTTCTTATATGGAGCATCTTTCAGGTATCAACCATTTTCGGACGTTCCTCTTGGTATAAAAGCTGTAGTTGCCGCTATTTATGAACCTCCCCAAAACTGCACTCCTGATAATGTAGAAATTCTCGATGATCCTAATGAACAGGTAACATACTCTCAGAAGCTCTCTTAATTATTCTATTACTCTTTATTTCAGGCAGTAGATCGGCTGTGTAACTGGTTAGGGTTGAAACGTGTGGGCTGGATTTTCACAGATCTCTGGTCAGCTGATCGAGTGAAAGGAACGGTGCACTGCACAAGACATAAGGTAGGTCTTTATCTACCTAAAGCGAATGCAAATGGACAGTTATTTTCCCGTTACTAGACCTTTCTAATTGGAAAATTCTCATTTTTGGAAGGTTCTGCTCTTGAATACATCGCATAGATTTGTAGTTTCCCAAGTTTACCTAAGAGAGGCCGGATTCTTAGTAGTCACGCGGATGCATGGATTTCCTCGCAGCTTTTGACAGATAGCGCCCTTGAATAGTTTTTTTATTTCAAAGCTCTACGAGTTACTTTCTCTTTTCATTCCATTTTGCGTTTCTTACGCAATGCTTCAAAAGTAACTGAAACGCGCAATTAGTCTACGCTTGTGGCACCATAACCATTGTCCCGCTTGCACCCTTCAGATTCTTTTTGTCTGTAGAGATTCCTCACTGGGAACTCGTAAAAGTGTGATGCGTAGTCGGTGGGATGAGTTTCATGAGAGACAGATTGGTGATAACGTGAG